TTCTGGAAAGGACACCATGCATTTGGGAAGAGACGGGGGCCCTTTGCCGCTCATTTCAAGGTATCCTCATTATCATCCCATCACCTTTTCCAGATTGTACTCTTCTCTTCCGCAGTCGTCCAAGGGTGAAAGAGGCTTGAGGGAAAGGAAGGCGTGACAGTGACAACCTTTTATCTCTTCCAGTTCCACTCAGAACTAGTTAAATTTACTGGGCTCAGAGAGGGCCCCAGGCCAATGACTTACAGACACTCCCTGAGCAGAATAGGCACTGCCTGTCATCGAGCGGGGTTCCAGCCACTGGCGCCTGCCCTGCTCTTCAGCTCGTTTCTCACTTCCCTGCCCAGCTGTGCTTCCACCTATTTCTGTTTCCACGACCTCCCCGTCCTATCCTATCCCATCCCATCCTACTGCATGAATCCTTCCATTTTCAGGATTCAGCAAAAACCGTCACCTTTTGCATGAAGCATTGCCTGATACGTACCCCGCTCTCCTGCAGGATTGCTCCCTCCCAACCCCATGTCCCCACTGACAGATCAATATCCTAGCCACCTGCCACAGCCCGACCTTCACATGTCTGTCTCCTCCCATTTTCTAGAAGGGGGTGGAGGACAGGACCACAGCATCTCTTTCCTCTTTGTTTCTGGCCCAATATTGGGAACACAGATAGGCACTGAGATGTCTGTTGAAGGAATAAACAATAAGTTATTTGTGTGTTGCTCTTCTCTTCTGCCCTGGAAGTATAGCCTGAAAGTTCCTTCAGCTGCCTGTCTCATCCCTGCCATCAGTAATAAAGTGCTTGGCCCCCGGATATGTTCAGCTAGAATTTAAACGATCACCTTCCCCTTTGGAGGCTTTTGCATCCTTCAGCCACCTCTGATCTAAGAACTATCCATCCCTTGTCCTGGTGTTCAAGAACCCAAGTGTTAAGGCAGGGAGCTCTCCTGGGGGAGACCCCAGAGCTGTCATGGTAGATTTAGATGATAGTTGTAGAGAATCTGCTAGGACACACTCTGCAGGAGACAAGCTGTTGAGCTTAGAGAGATCTCCTGCAATTACTTAGAACGGGGAGTTGTTGAGTCATCCTTGGATACCACCTCTTACGGTTCACAGTTCACAAAGGCACTTACCTCTGTGAATTTCTGAGCCCACATTTGCTTTTCATGATTGGTTCCATTTGCCTAAAATTGAATATTCATCTATTAACCCAGAAGGTCTGAGACTTCAGACAGAGAAATATGTAATAATAGTGTTTACTTTTGTATCATATTTCATGGTTAAATTTTACCGCTAATACATTCTTTAGGAGTAAAAAGTATTATCCAATTTCTGGTTTTCTCTCCATTTTTGAGAGTAGCAAGGCAGAAGTTAGAGGGAAGGGGCAAAAGGCTTTTAAAGCAGGTATTTGAGGTGTTTCGATACTAACACCTTTGTTTGGGCTGTGCTGAGGCTGTGTTTGCTCTAAAGGCATTTGTCCACCTTGACTTTGTCAGCAGTGATGTGGTGAGCAGTAGACTTCCACTAGGTGGGGTCCTCTCTCGTTTTGGGACTGCTTCCTGCTTCAGAAGAGTTTGCTGGTGCTAAGGTCAGGATCTTCACGGTCAGGGACCATTTCTCTAATTCAAAATGCAGATTTCACATTCTACACGTAACACCGTAGGGGGCCTATATCCAAAAAGGACTTACCATTGACCCCTAAAAGTGAGGAAAGAGTAGTAGTTGATCTGCTTTCTGTGCAAGCGGGAAAACATGGTGAAGCTGCGAACTGCATTGAACTCATTTATTCAGTAAATGTTTACTGAACACCTACCATTTGTGAGACTCAAGCCTAGGCACTTGGATTATAAAGATGAATAAGACAAAGTCCCTATCAAAGAGCTCTTGGGGGAGGGCAGACATACACAGAAATAGATAATTACAAAACCTGGCACATGCCAGAAGGAGAGAACATACCATGAAAGAGTGAGGAAGTTTCCGCAAGATGAATGCTTTCAAATTGCACCTGGAGCACAGGAGGAACTCCCTGGATGGAGGTAATTAACAGCACATGCAAATAGAAGGAAACATGAATGAGCTCACTTGTGTGCAGAAAGCTGGAGCACTGAGTGTTGAGGGGAAGTGGGCCCTGTTAAAGGTTGGTGTGGGCCCCATGGGGTAGCGCCCACCACGGTTGCGTTTGTGCTGCTGCTCCTGTGTTCTGCGCTGGGCGCCCAGCACGGGTCCGTCCTTACCGTGGTGTCTGCCCTGCCTCTTCCACACCCCAGGGTACTGGTTGGGTAACCTGTCTTCTCAGATCTTCCTGAGATGACCTGGTGCCCCTGACATTGCAAAAAATCCATTTTTAGAAGATTTGCAACAGAGAAGAATTAAAGAAATAGGGACCATGGGACTCTTTTGGAGGACGATGGTATTTTCAATGAATGTGTCACACCACCTTTCAAACCAAGACATTAAAGAAAAGCCAGCTGCACAAGTCCCTAGCCTTCCCAGGGACTAGGCCTTTAAAATCTTTGTGACAGAGAAAAGTGCTTGGGGAGGAATAGAGAAACAAATCTCTCAGGGAGCTCTTCAAATTTGAAAAATTGGGAAATTTTGAAGGCATTAAATTCTCATGAAGACTTTACTACATGAATTTTGAGTAGGCCAAACATAGTGCTAAGTCAGCAGGTAACCACAACTCTCTGTGGTGCCAAAGGAAACATTCTGTGTTTCTTTTTAAAGGCACGCAAGACTATTTTGTTGCACCTAGCGCCTGTGGGGCCTGGGGTGCTGTGTGTCTGCTCTTACTCTTGGCTTTACTGCGGAGCCGCTGCTTTCTGCATGTGAGAGACTTAGAGACTCAGTGGTCTGCACATCCCTGCTCAGAAGCAAGGATATGGGCTCATGGGAAATAAATCCAGGCCTCATGGTAATAGGCCAGGGACCATACAGTGTCTCAGTGTGAAGACTTTGGCGTTTCACTGCATCCTCTTACAATTCATTTGGTGCCTCTGTGTTTCTTGTAATTAAGACTTTTTGGGAAGATTTTTCTTTTATGATTTCACAGACTGCTCACTGAGGTCCCCCTTATATATTTACGTGCCCTTCCCCTTCTCAACACCACTGCTTCATGGAACATTCTCCCTTTTCACACAGAGGTATTTTACTGATGTCTGTGCCTCAGCTTCCCCAGGGGGGCAGTCCCATGAGATCAGGTGAGACTGAAGCTCCGTTATCTGCTTCGTTTTCCCAGGACTTACGTCCCCTTATTCGTATCCCCACAGTTCCTTAGAGGATAGATCCTTGCGTGGGTTCTGTTTTATGTCTTCTGTCAAACATCACCAACAAACTGTGCAGCAGTACAGTCTTACTCTCCGAGGACTATGTTATAGAATTTTTAAGCATCCTTGTGGCTCAGCCCATGATTCCCTTCATCTCCCAAGATTTCAGGAGCATACGGAAAAGTTCGGGTGCTGGCTAGGGAGAGCTCTCAGAGCCGGGATCAGTCCCAGCGCCGCCGTGCTTGCTTTGGCTGTTTATTCAGCTGGTGTTTCTGGAGCCCATGCTGCGTGGCAGGCACTGGCCTGGAGCTCCATGCTTCCAGTAGGGCTGCCCGTGCCAGGAGCCCAAGCCCAGCGCTGGAGGCGGTCACATGCCTGAGGGGAGCCATGCTCCCTGACCCTATTTTTATAAGCCTTATTTCATTCGTTAAAGGTAATATTACATTTTAATGTCATGGTTGACATAGCATATTATCTTGGTTTCAGGCATATAACATAGTGATTCAACATTTATATATGTACCTTACAAAGTGATCACCACAATAAGTCGAGTAACTATCTATCACTGTACGTACTTATTATGATATTGTTGACTACATTCCCTGTGCTGTACATTATATCCCAGTGACTTATTTTATAAATGAAAGTTTGCATTTCTGAATCCCTTCCCCTCTTCCACCCATCCCTTGGCCCTCCTTCCCTCTGGCAACCATCAGTTCATTCTCTGTATGTGTGAGTTTGTTTCTGTCTCGTTTTGTTTGTTCATTTGTTTTGTCTCTTAGATTCTCTATATAAGTGAGATCATATAGTGTTTGTCTTTCTCTGTCTGACTTATTTCACTTAGCATAATACCCCCTAGGCTCATCCATTTTTGTCACAAATGTAAATATTTCATTCATTTTTTATAGCTGAGTGGTATTCCATTGTGTGAGTGTGTGTGTAACACATCTTCCTGATTCATTGATTGATTGATGGGCACTTAGGTTGCTTCCATATCTTGGCTATTGTAAACAATGCTGCAATGAACGTAGAGGTGCATATATCTTCTTGAATTCACGCTTTTTGTTTTCTTTGGGTAAATACCCAGAAGTAGAATTGCTTTAAATGTATCATTTAACGAATTTTTGAATTTTTCTAGGAGCAGCCAAGGTAATGTTGTTCGGATGCTGAAACTTCTCTGAATTGTCAGTGGCCTCTGGTTTAAATCAGAAAAGATATTTGAAATCTAAACTGACTAGGAAAATACAGGTGGTGTGGTTTCTAGGCATGAAAATCAATCCAAGCTGCCTCTTTAAAAATATATCTAGTAATTTTTTCTTTTCTACTCATCTTCTTGGGTAGATGATCTTATATGACATTTAACACCAAAGACGTTGTATCCTTGGATAAAAAATAAAAAGTTTTTAAAGCACAAACGTTTGTGTATCACCATTAGCTTTTTCACCTAGAGCTTTAAGTTTGACCATTCAACTTTTGCTCTATTTAAACACCTGGCCTTGAGGGGTGCTGATGAGGGGCGCTAAGCTCTAAGGGCTCCTTTGAAAACACAGCAGGAACTCAAAAGAAAGCTTGACAGACCCAGACCTTTTATAAACATTTGGCAAGTCCTTTCCAAAGAAGTGTTCTCTCCTCTGCCCTGTTGGGTCACTGTGTACAGCCTTCTCTCTGCTCAGTCCCTCCCCGCAGGCCGGGGGCTCCCCGGGTCCTGTGGTTCTCACTGTGTGTTCCCTTGCTGTGTTCCAGTCTCCCTCTCCAGGCAGTGCCTCGCCCCTGGGCGCGGAGTCTTCAAGTACGCCCCTTCATCCCAGTGACCCCATGGAAGCCTCCACGAACAAAGAGGTAGGGAGCCATTTCGTTTCAAAAGCCGTCGGCCCGTTTTCTTCCATTCTGCTTCTGGTATATGCCTGCTGCAGCCTCCCACAGAGCTTGTGCCCCAAAGTACCCAGGGGAGGAAAACTCTATTTTCTCCTCTCCAGTGTGGAATTCGGTGGTGAAAGCTGTGACATCCAATTTGGTAGCTACCAGCCACGGATGTCTATTTTAATTGATAAATGAAATGAAACACCCCTTCAGGCACACAAGGCGCATTTCCAGTGCTCAGTAGCCACAAGTGACTAGTGGCTACTGTTCTGGACAGGGGCCATCACAGAACATTTCCACCCATGCAGACAGTTCCCTTGGACAGTGCTGGCCACTGGACATCAAAAACTCCCTGTGGCAGCTTCCTTCCTCCTGGTGTTACAGGTCTTGGGCACCATGGATCCACAGTTGCTATCCGGTTGGGGAAATGGGTTGAATTTTTTTTAATATCCACCTATTTTATGCCCAAGTTCAATCTCTGCCACGACGGCAGGGTGACCGCTTGTCCTGGTTCCGCTGCAGTGGGTCCAGTCCACAGCTGCCGCGCAGCAGCGCTCCTGGCGAGCACCCCTCCTTGCTCTCCAAAGCAGCGCTGCTCTGAGAACTGACTGCAGCACCGGACACATTCTCCTCTGCCCTGGCCGCGCTGGTGGTCGCCAGCCACGGGTGACCAGCGAGCCCTCGACACATGGCTAGTGGGGCTGAGGACCTGGATTTTTCATCTTATTCTATTTCAGTTAACTAAAATAGCCACATGTGGCGAGGGGCCCCTGGACCATGCAGCCCTAAGGTGTCCCCTCCTTAGAGAGGCCAGACTGGCTCTGGCAGAGACAGCGCGATCAAGAAGATGCTGCTCGCTCCCACTGAGCTCTCTAGGGCTAAAGAGGGCACAGGCGTTTCCCGGGGGCCAGCCCCTATCTTCTCCAGCACCGTCATCTTTTTTGACACCCGGCTAACTGCCGTCCCTACCTCTTTGTAAACTAGCATCAGGTAAATATTGGCCCGCATCACAGTCCGTGTGGGGGCTCATCGTGCCCGAAATACAGACGCTGCCTAATCAACACTGAAGACACGTGTTAGGGAGTTAAACCACGTGATGAATGTCTCATTCCCGTCCCCCCCCCCTTTTTATGTTAAATAGCAATGGAAGAAAGCATTCTCCACTTTAACCAGAGTGGCAGATCACTTCTAAAGGGAGCCTTAGTTGAATTTTAAACTATCATTGGATACACATACATTTGTCATTAAATAAATAGGCATGCAGGGGAGAAGTGTGTTTTTTATTAATCTGTTCATTATCATTAAACCAAACAAACATAAGAGGACCTTCTCAGAAACAACAACATTAGAATTTAGATTTGAACTACTTTGCCCTCCTCTGGTCTCGACCCTCCCACGACAGGCCTGAGGACTAAAGGACCTGGGGTACTGGGTCCCAGTTTCTGCTGCCCCGACATCCCACCGCTTTGCCTTACCCGTTGGCCATAGCACCCAGAGAGGTGGGAACAAATGGCATGAAGAAAAGGGTGACGACCACAGTGACGATAGTAACAGCAATGAGAGTTACCGTTTCTTGAGCAGTTACAGTGTTCAGGCACCAGGCGAGCACGGAGCAGATAGTATCTCATTAAATCCTTAAATCTGTGCTTATATGCCCTTAAGTGTTCGTTGATGAAGCTGAGAGACTGAATGCTTATCTGAGGTCCCAGGGCTCACAACTGGTGGGACAAGGATTTGACCCCAGGGTGCCTGTGGGCCCAGGCTCCTAACACCAGGATCTGCTATCCTTGGGGTGAGAAGTGCTTGCAGGTCACACACTGCAAAGACAAGGCCGCTTGTACAACATGTCATTTTTCCAGGCTCTATACATGCTTAGTGTGGGCTCCTGGAAAATCCCAAATACTTTGGCTTTTATCTTCTTGAATGTGGTTTTATTAATTTTTGAATGTTAAAGATTAACTAATGTTCACTCTGCCCACATGTGAGAAAATAAAGGGCTAATAAGACATCTGAATATTCAACATTTGATTATTCATCAGATATAATAAGCAAGGCAAATTTGTTAGTTTCTCGGTCCCTACAGGACTTGGCGCATTTCTATATATCCTTAGAAATAATGATGAAAATCCTCTTTGTGTGCAATAATTAGAGATTCTTTCACTTCACAAAATTCTTTTTTTTTAAAAATAAAAGATTTACTACCCCAGAGTCTAAAGAAAGTCAGTCATGAGCTCATGAATAGAGAATAAGCAAAAGTACCAAATGCCCTCCATTGTAGCTCGAAATAAAACAGCAGTTTTTAGACCGTTAGACTGAAGTAATTCTTCTGTAGTTTCTATTAAAATCAGGACACTGTCCTTGATATTAGCATTCAGAAAAGTACCCTAATAGCCAAGAAAATCTGAATTGGCTTCTTGGAGAAACCTGGAGGCTTAACCATTTTGATGACACATGTAAATCCTTATTACCCCAGACCCTTAGCAGCTGAGGAAAGGTCAGGGAGAGGGTTCAGAAATGACAATTTGGAAATTTGGGGCCCTTGTGAAGAAGCCAGCTCCCCTCTGCATGCCCTGACATTTTGGATTGTTTTGCCTGTAAACCAAGCAGAATTACACAGACTCGGCTGTTGGCACTCACCTGGACCTATCTTCTCACTTAGATAACTAGGCAGTACAATTAATGTAAAGCACTATTGAAACTGGACTCTCTTTTCTCTTATCCCCTCATCTTGGCTTTCACTTGGTGTGCGTTTTTCCATAAAATGCATTAACAGCTAATAAACTTTCCTTCCTGGTAGACTTGTGTCTTTAGTTTCTTTAAAGGCAATCCTTTCTAAAACCAGAAACACACCCTCTTGGGTGTGAGGAAGCATTTCATCCCAGTGAGCACATCCGCAGCAGGTTTACTGAGAGGTTGCGCTGGGCAGTGTATTGTGTGATCAGTATTGAATTCTTGTCATTGCCCTGAACTGAGTTAGATTCCTAAAATTAAGTGCCTTCCACTGACTGCAAGTTTTCACATAACAATTAACACAACTATGTTTTAGAATTGTGTGCACGTCAACTAACGAACCATCTTTTTGCCATTCCCATCTTCCAAGTGAAGAGCGCCGTGTGAAGTACTGTGATAGGGAATCGTTGCCCATGACATCCCAGCCCTCACGCAGGGCCCTTCACCCCTCCAGCCCCCCAGGCTCCCCAAGTACACCCTCAGTTCAAGTCAACCTCATGGTCAGCTATGCTCTCCTAAGACACCCTTTTTCTAAAAGGTATGTATTTAAATGACCGCCCTACACCTGGTCGATTCTTAGCACTGAATATCTCTGGATAACCCTTGGCCACGCAAACCCTATGTTGGCCCATTTGAGGGACTCTGGTCCTTGGCCTTAGCTCTCCGCTCTCCTGCAATGCGCACATCACCCTGCCCCAGGTAGATCAGCTACGCATTCCATTACTGGGTGAGGCAGGAATGAACGTCCTACTCTTAGGCCGCTCAGAGTTCTCTCTAGGACATTCGCTTGTGAAAGGAACCAAGTGGTAAGTATCATTCCTCAGAGGGCCAGCATTTAAACTGCTGTCCAGTCAGGTTCTAGAAGGTTTCCAGTTGGTCATATCCCCTTCCAGTGGTGCTTTTGGAAGACTGATCTTTGCTCCAGGTGGTTACTTAATATACAAAATTCCAGGGTTTTTAATGTACTTCTTTGTTTATTGTGTTCTTATTTTAAGGTAACACATGATAATTACATATATAATAGAATTTTCAAACTAAAATCAGTAAGAGATGAAGGGATAAAAACTCTAGCAAATATTTTTAGCACTGTGAGAGATCACTGCAGCAAAGACCTAATGTGAAATAAAATTCTCCAAAGGAATTCTTAATTTCAACATATAAGTATATTGTTGGTGCTTTCATTAATCAGCAGTTTTTACTTAGAAACCCAGATTCTTAAGATAAGAATTGAGACCTTTTTATTGCTATTGTGGACTGTGAATTGTGGTTAATGGGATATTTTTTAAGCTGAGAGAGATCTTTCCATGGAATATAAGATTTTCAGATTATCTAAAATATGAATGGGTGGTTCTGGGCTTTGGGTAACCTTTAATAAGAAATGCATATGTTTATTTACACTTTACTTCTATAACCAAAAATTGTCAACAACTGGTCACTGTCTGCCACCAGTGACATTTATTTTTTATGTTGTATGGATGGTTGTGTTAATGCGTTTTTCATCATGCATTGCCCTTTTTGAAACCTCTTTGTCTTAATTACAGTCAAGAAAAAGCTTGGCTTCATTCCCAACCTACGTTGAAGGTAAGAACTGAAAAAGAAATATTGAGCACTGAGTCATTCATGAATCTTTTAGCATTTTGAGTATTTGAAGCACTGGGCCAGAAGACAGTGGAAAAGAAAGGCCATAGATATGCTAGTTAATTCACAGTCTTAGCAGTCTGAGAATCTCAGGCTAAAAGAACAATAGCTGTGAGCCACTTAAAGATCCTGCTCCCTCTCTTTACTGATTCTGTCCATCAGAACCTGAGCTGGGGTGGAGAGCTTTGCCTAGCTTAGTAATGACCATATTGGGTCTGAAACCCAAGACTTCCTACCTCTGCTGCAATCCACCTCTTACATCCATCAAGGACTATTTAAGTGGAAGTAAGCTTTAACTAAGAGGGAGAAATTTTGGTTCTCTTCACTCAAAAAAGAAGAAGACCTTCCCAATAATTCTTGTCTCTTGCTTGGATGAGCTAGTAATAGAAACATTTATTAAGCTTACTTTTTGCCATGTACTAGTTAAGTACATTCCATATAGTAATTAACTGAATCCTCACATCAGTCCCATGAAGTGAGTTTTTTGTCATTATTCCACTTTATGAATGAGAAGACGGAGGCATCAAGGGGTGAGCAACTTTCCCAAGATCACAGTTAGCAAGGTGCTGAGCCAGGCTGCGAACCGGCAGTGTGGCTCCGCAGTCCTCCCCGTGTGCTGCACAGCGCTGCCACACATGGTTGTGCAGGTTACTCATGGCACAAGGACACTGACTCAAGGCTGCTCCAGAAGGCCAGAGTTCAGCCCAGCCTGGGCGCCCCGGGTTCAAGGTTGGGCCACACAAACGGAGTGCCCGTTTCTCATTCTCAGAAAGAGACCCCCTGAGCTAGCGGCGACACTCATCCTCTACTGGGAGGATGGCAGATGCTCTCTCCAGGAGGGTGGGTTGTCATTTCCTTGAAGGAAGATTTTCTGGAGCCAGAAAACACCCAGGCATCGCTTTGAGGTCATTTCTGGTGTTTGGATTTTCTGAGTAAACAGTTGGTATATTCTACTGCCTGGGAATGAAACCTCTTTGAATGTTCAGATCTAAAGCCCCAAAACATGCTCATAGATGAGGTTCTGTTAGTTACTCAGGTTTCATTCTTGAGTAACCTGCAAATTATTTGTGCCATTTCTGTGAAGCTCCCAAATTCCATGAGAGCACCTCGGGGAGCTATTGAGAGTTTGGAAACTCCATTCTTCCTCAAATCCAGTCCTCCAGGCGTAGCATTAGCATGAGGGTGGACATATGTATAGAATGTGTGTGCTTGTTCACTTACAGAGCAACACAAAGGCATCACTGGAAAGAAAAGCTCATTCCAAAAGGCCAGAGTCACACCTGTGCTTCTTTAACTTAGGAATGTTATAAGTTTAATTTTCTTAACTTCTTAATGATACACTAACATCTGATCCTAAAATGACCTTATGAAATTAGGGTGCTTTTTCTCTGGGTACGATAGAGTGACAGTGACATTTGATTATAATTATTTTCCCTGGAGGGTAAAGGGCATAAGATTATATCTCAAATGTATAATTTGTTTCGATCCAATATTTTTGTCTCTTGGCTGCTTGACATTTACACAGTCATATAAATGTTATTTGGATTGCTCTTAAACATACCCGCATATCCACACTTACCAGGGTTCAAGAGGGATCCCTTTCAGTGAGTCGAGCTAAGTCAGGGATAAATAACAGCATGATATTGGAAGTCCTGTAAAGAGGTGGTTAATTTTTACTTTTCTTTAACATTCATTATTTCCACAGATAAACAGAACATTTTTAAAAGTTACTATCCCATCTCATATGAGATCTTTTTCCTCAATACTCGGTTGACAAAAATGACTATGCTTAACACTGTACATCCATCACAGGAATCTGAAGACGACGACTGAGGAACTTTCATATTTTACAAAGCATAGTGTGGTCTCCGCTTGTCTGTATGTTATTTTAGTTAGACTACTGCTTCCCTGCTTTACAGCTCAACTGTATATTGTAAATAACCTGAATTCATCTCACATGTATAAAAGTTTCAGGGTGAGAAGTATGTGGGTGTTGAGAAGAATGTGAGTTACTGGTATATAGCGGCAGCCTGTATGGCTGTGTACCATTCAGTGATTGTCGGGAAGTCTTTCTGGGAAAGATCGGGAATAAGACAAATAACAGGTTTCCTTACTTAATTACCACACAGATGCTTTGTAAAGACATTTCCTAAAACATTGTTAATTTCTTTGTTTCAACCTCCACCTCGGTTTTGGGGGAAAAAAATGAACAGATTATTTTAAGTCTGTACCCTGATAAGTAGCTTACCATGGAAAGCATCTGTTTAAGCTCAAGATGAGTTTCATGTTTAAGGATAAAAATCAAAACCATTTCAAACTAGCTCCCCAAAAGGAAAAAGCAAATTGTTTCCACTTTGAGGCCTCTAATTTAAAACCCTGTGGTTTTAACTGTGGGTTAAAATGTGACATTCAAGCCAAAGAAAATACATGTTCTCATTGAAGAATGAGAATGCCTGCCTTAGTGCAGCTATCATAACGTGAGTTGTATATTAGTCCCATACCTGTTTCTATTTAAGTAGCGTTTACAGGCGATTATGGTTAGAGTCACACACCTCCATTTTAAATAGTTAAAACTAAGGTTTGATTAAAAGGCTGATCGATGAAACAGAAATTCCCATTTTCCTTGGAATTGATCTGTACACAGACGCAGGCCGGGACTTGTAGCTGCACGTCAGCAAGGTTGACAGTAGAAAACCACAGCTGTGGGGGCCCCCAGCTGTCTCCTAGCCCTGGGGTCAGAGGCTGTTGTGGGAACCAGCCATTCTGAAACAAACATCTCATTTTTCTGACTTACAAAATTTATTTCCCCCACTATGGACAACATGAAGTGGGGGCGGTGTGAATGGGTGGCAAGTCAAGGAACTGCTGACCTAACCATTTGTCAGGCAAGAGTTTATTTGATACTCGCTGGGTGACATGCTAAGTAGACACAAGAGAGCCAAAGATAACTGTGACACAGTCCTTGTCCCCAAAGAGCTTCCAGCGTTAACAGGAGAAACAACACCCTTCATCAAAGCATTTCACATTTTGTAGTTACATAAGTATTCACATCATTTCGCACAATAAATGGCCCAGGTGAAGTAAGTTACTCTGCAAAAACATTGTTCTACTATTTGAAGACGAGGGGTGAGTAAAGGCAGACACAGATGCCTTAGACTAGCAGGTCGATGCTCCTGCTGGGGCGTCCCAGAACGGCCCCGTGCGCCAGGCGGGCGCAGCGGGGAGGGGCGGCATGCCGGGCGCAGCGGGGAGGGGCGGCATGCCGGGGATTTGGCAGGCCCACCCCGGGGCGGCCGCACTCACTGCTGTGGCTCTGTGTGTTTCAGTTCCCGGACCTTGTGACCCTGAAGACTTGATTGATGGAATCATTTTTGCTGCCAATTACCTTGGCTCCACCCAGCTGCTCTCAGACAAAACTCCCTCCAAAAATGTGCGCATGATGCAGGCCCAGGAAGCAGTGAGCAGGATCAAGGTGAGGGGACCGAGTGCTCTGCCGGGCGGTGGGCGGAGGTGGGTACCTGAGCCATGCACGGTGGTCCCCCTACACCTCACGTATCTAGCCCCGAGTTTAGAGGAGAGTGGATTGGGATGATGTTGCAGGCAGTGCTTACACATGTACCTGCTAACAGTGTTAAACAGGAAAAAAAAGGGAAAAAAAAAAGGGATTTCTCATGTGTACTGGAGTCCCAAAGTATAAATACTGTATATTTTTGGTTGTTCTTAATGGCCCAGTATTGAGAAAAACATACATATGATCATGAACTTCAAAAAGTTGATACAGTGAGGAAAGGTATCATTTTGAGTATTTTCTCTAATGTGAGAGGTATATCACCAGATTTCCACTGACAGCTAGAGATCTGTGACTTCAACGTTCCTGTTACAGCGTGGTTCAAACTGGGTCCCATTGCTTTCAAACAGGCTGGTCCCGTTCAGGCTAAATTGAACTGTATTGCTTCAAGGAAAATGAACCATTTGATCAGATCTGGCCTAGCCAGCCTGAGCAAGGCTAACCCAGTTGAAACTAGTTTAAGACAGTCATAATCTGTTCGAATCTGTCCTACCAAGATTTAAAAGGAGTAAGCCTGTTTGATCCAGGAAGAACCCACTTTCATCTAGTTTCAATCCTTCATAACTAGTTTGAACCAGCCAGAACTGGTTTGATCCCATGGAAGTGCAGAGCTCTAGAATCTCCACCACAAAGCCATTACCACCTAGAGTTATGGACAAACCCCAGGACTACAGAGACCCCTAAAGTTTCATCTTGCCACGTGAGTGTCATAAAGTGCCACCTGCCCCCAGAACCCCTGGGCAGCTACTCTGAGCCACAGGAAGAGCATCCCTGTTGAAACCCCCACCCAGGCGTTTCCAGCGGGGGTAGTAGGTTAGGGCTGTGCAGGATTGGTCTCGTCCATTCCAAATGGCCATGACCAGTTCCCTCCTCAAGAAACCATTCACTGTTTTATATCTCCTCACTAACACACAAGTTTCATGCTGGTGTTTGTGTGGCAATGTGGAATAAGAAAGCAGCACAGGTAGAAGGCAGTTCCTGAGAGTCCTTGATCTCTCCATTAAGGAAAAAGTTTTTTTGGTTTTTTTTTTTGAGCACTTATGTGTTCAAGGCTGTGCAAGGTCTTGAAGGGGGGCGGGGGGTGCAATTTGTAAAGTGAGAGCCTGACCCTCAAACTCAGCAGCTCAAGTAGGAAATGAATGAAGCCAGTGAATGTGCAGGGTGTACGCAGCCCCTCCCTTAACTATCCATCATAGTAGAGTAAACCCATGCTGCAACTTTTGATAATACTAGTGAAATTTTGGGAATTGGGATATATAAACTAGAGAGTAATTTACAGTTGCATCAAGGGAAGCCCAAAGTCAAGATTACTGACAGACACCTACTAGTTTCATCTCTGCATCAGGGACACACTTCACCATTTCATCTGGGCAGCCCAAACCTTATCTGTGCCTCAGGGACCCTGCTGCCACCGCGCCCCCTGCTGTTGTATTCATGTCTTCTCCCAAAATTAGCCTTTCCCAGGATGATTGACAGTGGGAAGGTCCATTTCCTTCAAAGGAAGTCCCACCCCCTACCACAGAGATGCATGTTACCCCATGGTTCCCAGCCGGACGGCTCCGTGGAAACACGTCAGCCTGACCTTCATACCTGCCTGATCTTTCAGACTCAGTAATTCTGTTGGTAGAACATCAGGTTCCTGTTGGCCTGCCCATCCAAGCTCGTCCTAATTTCTTTTTGCTGTCACCTCTTATCATAAAGAGGTGACGTTGATCCTGCCAGATCTTCCACTGTTCTTAATTTAGCATCTCCCAGGCATAGCCTTCAAAGCAAGAAGACACAAAGCTCTGTGAGAGAACAAGCTGCTTCTCAGGCACCGACTGTCCCGCCTCATTTCATCGGGAGCAGTGAACTTTAAAAACTAAGGCTTTAGGGTCATAGTTCTGACTCCTCGTGTCCCACAGGCACCAAACACAGCATGTTCTGATTTTGTTAAATTAACACTTGTTAAGTAGAGCCCCGAGGTGCCAGATGGCAAGCAAAAGACCACAAGAGAAATTTAGAGAAGTTATTACAGGTCCTGGAGAAAGTCCTAAAAAGCCACTTGGGAAGGCCATGGCAGGGTGCAGGCAGAGAGAAAGAGAGAGATTCAATGATTATGTTTTACTTACAGGTATCATTTTACAGTGTGTTTCTGTGCATCTAAAGAAACTGTTGCCTGTCATTAAATATTATATGCTTTCTGTTCCTTTTATATCCATTTAAATACACGCTGGATTGCTTGCCTTTACACCAAGCCTGACTCTTTTTCAAATTGTAAGTGGAGATGGTTGCATTGAGACCCATGGTTTATTTCTCCTTCCCCCACCGAGAAAATTACTGTTCTGGGAGTATGCAGAGACACTTCATCACCTGCAGAAGGGACAGGGGAGTGGGGTGCAGCCAGAAGCACCTCTCCAGCTCAGTCAGGGTGGTCTCTGCGGAGAGTGCACTGCGGTCCTGTGCCTAGGAGACACCTTTCTCTAAGGGAGCTGGTGCCATGCTTTTTCCTGGAGAGAGGCTGAGCTTTCAGAAATGAGTTCTTCTGGGCCACCTCTATAGAGAAACAGAGCAGAAGGAGGCTACAGATTTTTATAGTGTCCATCCAGAAAGGAAGGGAGACAGGAAAGCTCAGGATTTATTTGGAAATCTGTTTAGCAACATCCTCACCCTGAACAGATGAGTCATGCATGCCTTGGTGCTCTCACCTAAACAAAGGCAGAGCCTCGGGTCCAGTTCCACCTTCCTCCCGCGCTCCCTGCAGAGGTCCCACCTTGCCCCCCTCTCTTTCCTCTGCCTGCTTCTCTGCTTGACCCTGTGGACGCCGTGAGCCCTACCGCACCATGAGGCCAGCCCTGAGATTTGTGGTGCCTTGTTTCTGAACAAGCACCCAACGTGAGGCATAGGTTTCCTTTTTACAGCAGTCTTTGATTTCTGTCTATTCAAGGATTACGGTGTCTGTCACTCACATAGCACCGACTGTGTGCTAGAATTGAATATTGATAGTGGACTTATACCTGGAGTCATAAGAATTATGAGTTTCTTCATTTGACAAAGAATTTACAGATGTATTTGATAAATGGGGAGAGAATTTGGAATTGTGGGTCAGCCAGGTAGTCTCTACTGAACGTGAAAAGAAAACAAAGGAATTTGGCTCAGAAAGCAAATGGCTTCTATGCAGACCCTTGTGATAGACATAGTAGGAGATAAAAATTAACCCAGACAGTCCTTGCAGTCCTTGACCTTGAGAAACATGCAGTCTAATAAGGGAGTAAGCAAGAGTATCAAGGTAACAATAATACAAGGGAGGCTGAGGAATGTGAAGTTAAAAGGCTTTCCAGCTATCAAAATAGAAGCAATAAGGTGTGTCTGAAAACAATAAGCATAATTAGAAGACACCTGCCATTTTTTAAAAACTTTTAAAATCATCTTTGGATCCTCCCTAATGTATCCTTTCTGTCTTTGTTGTTCATCATTTTGGAGGAGAAATAATATCCTGCCAAAAAGCCCCCATATAACTTAGAGCAACGGTTCTCGAAGTGGGATCCCTGGACCAGCAGTGGCTGCAGCTCCTGGGAACCTGTTACCAATGCAGGTTCTCAGGCCCTGTTACTCAGACACTCGGCAGGGCAGGGCCCAGGGATCTGTGTTTTCACGATTCGGGTGGACACTCCCATTTGGGAAACATTATCTCAGGGAGGGGCAGACCATCTAGTGTTAGGGCTGTCCCCACACTGTGCTCTGTGGCATTCCAGCCAAGCCAAGCACGTCTCGCAGATGGGGTTCTATTGACAAATAAGCTCAAGAAACCCTGCAAAATAGATGGGTATCACCACATATGTTTTCCCACTGAAGGCTCTTGAGAAATCCTGTAGTAAGGATACATAATTCACATTGTTGACCAGAAGCTCCCGTATTTCTTTGAACAGAGATGCATTATCACTGTGTCACGCCTGTTAAAGCTTACTGCTAGGATTCTCAGGAACACTTTTGGAAGAAACTTCTGGAGAGAGCTCTGCTCTTCATGCTGTCCGTGCCCGAAGCGCACTAGGTAGAGCCCCTGCACGCACGCGCAGTGTGGGGAGCGCGCGGGGACCCTGTTCGAGAGGCAGGCTTGGCGCCAGGGCAGCCAGCGCACCTGGCTTCCTCTCTCTTCACTCCATCTCCATGCTTCGTCACACCCCCTTCCCGCCTCCGCCTCTGCGCTTCCACTGGAAGTAGGGGACCTGCCGAGCACCACCTGAGCCTTCCTAACTGCTTCATGTCCCCAGAGTGTGGTGTATGTGTCTCCATTCTTTCTACATTTGTGAAGCTCATGTTATTAGCTCACAAATGGTGTTTTGACATTTTTGGGTCCATGCATTTTTGTAAGGATCATTCGTTACCAAATAGACTTCTTGTACCTGCCTTTACTAGCCTGTTCCAAAAGATCAGATTTTTCAGTTCGTTTATGGAAAGATTTTCTTTAAAGGTCAAACATTATTATTTAATTGTAAAATTAAAATTTCCATCAGTCTAGCTTTGTCTCAGTTGTGCGGTTTCCCATCTAACTTGGGGAAGTCTATGATTGATAAACTGGCTACTGACACTCCTTACAATGCAGGGGGTGGGGAACCCTCTGAGGAAGGTATTATTAACCCCACTTTTTCAGACAGAGAAGTTTATTGATGAAAAACTGGCCCAGAGCACACATCTAGCAATTTGGAGTGTGAAGTGTGACTTCCAGGTTTGAATCTCTGTTCAGCCACGTAACAGCTGTGTGACCTTGGGCAAGTTACTTAGCCTCTCTGTGCCTCAGTTTCTTCCTCTGGAAGAGGAGGATAATGTCATGCCTACCTCACAGGGTTGTCGTAAGCTTTTACGTCTATAGTTGTGCAGCGCATAGCAAGATACTGTCAGCAGGGGAAAGAAAGGCTGGAATAGTCAGGAGGCTCCCCAGTGTGCATAACCTAGAGTTAACACTCCATACACAGCGTGGACCGAGTGATGGGATGGGCGGCGCCACAGTTCATGTCCTCGCACACAGCCTGCTGGGTGGTAAGCCATCATCAATCCCGTGACACAGGAGGATTTAAAGGGATGTTGTCGTTCCTTGCTTTAAGGTGTGTGCTGGCCTTATGGTTCTTCTCGACCTCTCTCTGCCACTCCAGTTTTTCATTCTGGCTCCGATCCCATCATTATTTCCAATGTTATGTCAAAATTTTAAATTATAGTTTGTTTCAGGGCACTTGATTATGATAAGTGATTTTAAGATGGCATTCCTCTAAGTGCGTAAAATATTTTTAACTTCATAAACATTTTTTCAGAATGTTTATGAAACACAAGTCTGCCGTTTGGATTCTTTTCCTCATCACCAGTTCTAGCAAAAAAACAAAAAATGAAACAGACTTTGGGCATTCCGTTGGTGGCAGACTTATTTTCCTTTGAAAGGGCCCTTTCAGATCACTGTTTCCTGAGTGAAGCATTTTGACCAATAGCTGTTAGGTTTTGGTAAAAAAAAAAAAAAAAAAAAAAAAAAAGGAAATTCTTATATTACCACCATATCATTTCATATCACATTATTTCAGGGGAAGTGGTAGAAAACAGACAAAACATTAGAGTCTGACAGCTGTTACCTCTCCTAGGATCCTAACTGGCGCACGTCAGAACTTCCCCTGGCAGAACTCCCCGATTCCACAAAGGGATCTGTGGGTAGCGTGGCCCCGGCACAGGGCCACTCCTCAGAGGCGGAAATACTTCCACTGTCACGCGCACCAGTTAGGGTAACACTTGCAGTTGCTGCCTGTGGACTTTTCCAGAGCACGCTCTTCACCCTGACCACCAGCAAGAGCTGTGAGTTGGCTGTGCAGGATTGGGCTGCCCTAGATTCCTGGGTGTAGCAGAGATGAGCTGTTTGGTGCTTGGATGGCTGACTCATCCAGTTTTGTTTTTCCACAATGAGGCAGTACAGACAAGACACCTTAGTCATTAATGAAATAAAGTTGTGCTGCTGAGAGCAAAAGAGCTTTTCCACCAGGTGAGTACCAAGGAATGGAAGAGAGCAGACCTTCTTCCACCCCACCCCCATCACCACAACAGCGTTCTGGTTTGGCCATTGACTCACCATTCTCTGTACCAGATCTTTGTGTGTATGGCAAGCCCAAAAAAGACCAAGAAATTGCATCCTGATATAGGTGAATTATAATCATATAACAGCAAACACAGAGTGCTTACAATACACCCGACACTGTTCTAAGAGCTCTGCATCTATTTATTTTATCCTCAGAACAGCCCTAGAGATAGATACTGTTTTTATCCTCATTGACAGGTGAGTTAACTGAGGCACGGAGATGTTACGCAGCTTACTCCAAATCACACACCTAGTTTGGTAGCAGAGCCAAGATTCAGTTTCAAACAAGTCAACCCCAGAACCTCTTCTTTTATTCACTATGCTTTTACAAATGAGAAAAGAGGGAAACATTACATTCATTTCTAGTTAAGTGTAGGCTATATTAGTAGTGCAATGATATAAGGCAAGAAGTATTACTAGAGATAAAAAGGGAAAACAAAATATTGATTTAATAGGAAGACATAAACATCTAAAATACGTATGTACCTTATAACATAGCTCTAAAATGGATAAAGCAAGGATTGACAGAAGTAGACGTGAACCAATCCACAGTAACAGCTGGAGATCTTAACACACCTCTCTCAGTAATATTAGAATAAACAGACAAAAAATTCAGCAAGTACATAGAAGATCTGAGCAATACTCTTAGCTAATATATTGGACCTGATTGACATCGATAGAGCACTATCCCCAGCAACTGCTGAATGCATTTTTTGAAGTGAGCATGACACATTCACCAAAGTCAGTCATGCTCTGGGCCATACAGCTAAGCAGCAGCAAATTTCAAAGGATTGAAGTCAAAGGATATTATCTGACCCAGTGGAGCTAATTCAGAAGTGAATAACAGAAAGATAACTAGAAAATCTCCAAAGGTATTAAAATTAATAAGACAATCCCAAGTAATCCAAAGTTCAAAAGAGAAATCATAATGGAAATTAGAAAATGTTTTAAATGAAATAATTAAATTGCAGCATATCAAAATTGTGGGATACAGCCAAAGCAGTGATTGGAGGGAGAGTAATAGCTTTAAATAAATATATTTGAAAAGAAAAATGTTTGGAAAATGCACCATTTACGTTTTCATCTCAAGAAGCTAGGAAAAAATCAGCAAATTCAGCTCAGAAAGTAGAAGGACATAAAGGTATGGGCTAGAGTCAATGAAATAGAAAACAGACATACAATAAAAGAAAACCAACCAGACCAAAAGTTGGTTCTTTGAAAACATCGATTACAGTTAAGTATAAGAAGCAGCTTAATACGTTTCCTTCCTCCCCCTGCCCCTGCCGTGCACTCAATTCTGATTTGGGAAACCCATTGTCTACAGAGGGGGACGTCTTTTTTTAAGTCTGTCCCCCTCCCACAGCAACACTTTATATCACTATCAGTATTAGTTTGTCAAGTCCCTTTTCAACTTTGAGTCTCTGCGAATTCTTTTCTAACTGTTCTCCTGTCTCTGTTTGTTCCATGCTAAGCAGATGGCCCAGAAATTAGCCAAAAGCAGGAAGAAGGTGCAGTACAAACAACTTCATCAGCTTGGTGTTATGCCTGTTCTTTCCATTTATTTATGTTTTGCCTTTTTTATTATTTTGTGTTTTTGTTTTCTGCATCCAGCAAGTTTTTGTTCAGATTTCTTTTTGAACCGCCCCATAAGCCAACGTTTCTCAAAACTCAGTTGCCTAAAATGGCTGTTTTCTGTTGCTCATGAGTCATTTCATCTCAGAGGAACGGCAGGGAGCAGATTGGAGATGCTAAATGAGTCCTACGCTAGTGTGAAAGTTCCCACCATTCAGGAGCATTCATGTGGCAGGGACTTGGGTCTGTTCAATTATAGTCATGCTTGATTTGTGGATTTGTCAGATTGCTGGATGCAAAAAAGAAAACTCGCTAATAACCACACACATGCAGAGTTACGCCTTGAATGAACCAGACTGATGTGCTTTTTTGGTTGTGGAGCTTCTAGGTGCTTATGAGCTACCCATGGGACGTTGATGCATTGGGGCTCTTTCTTAATGGGGTGGATACAGGGTACTGCTTCTATGTTGCTGTGTCAGTATGCGAACATGAAGACCCTCTGACCAGAACTGCATTCAGATGACTTTGTTTGCACCTGCTATACACATTGTCCCCCATCACTTGAGCAGGGGCAGGCTGATTTTGCCAAGGTCCTAGCGTGTCAATTCAGTTGCCCTTATTCCTTCAATAAGCTGGGCTCCAGAACCCTTGCAGAAAGGGTCATTGGCAATCCTTGTTCATAGAGCCAGATCTCCTGCTGTGGGTTACTGCTTCTAGAGCCGAAGCAGCGAAGGGGATTCTGTGTTTTTCCTTGTAACCTGCAAATGCTAACTCTCGTCCATGTGTCCATCCTCTGTGTGGTACCTTCAGCTTTGGCAACCTAATTCTGGAGTCTGCATTGCTGTTCTGGTGACTGTGTCTCAGTGCCTGTGTGTGTGAGCTAACCTTGCTCCCATCACTTGGACCACAGGAATGTACTAAGCTTTCCCTTGGTACATTTTTCTTCTCAGGCTCCTGAAGGCGAATCTCAGCCAATGACCGAAGTGGATCTCTTCATTTCTACGCAGAGAATCAAAGTATTGAATGCTGACACACAGGTATTAGCTGGCTCCCATCTTTCCCGGCCATGAAGCTTAGTGGCATGGCAACTCAGAGACTGTACGCATGCCTGTAGAGCAGCTGTCCCCAGATGCTGGCTTCTGTACAAGTTAGAAGGTTGTGTCTGCTATGCGTGTTTAGGAGGGTGGGGTACAGGGAGCCTTGGGACTGTTTTCTTGAAGATCAAAGGGAAAAATAAACTGTGGATATTGTTTGATAATAATTCACGTAAGTTTTTAATCACAAGGTTTCATGAATTTGAACAGAGTAGCCTTCTAAAAATTTTTGTTTAAAATTATACAGACATACATACACACATACACACACACACAAAAACAAAATGCAGCCGTCACACGCAGATTTTATATATATATATATTTTTACCTTCCCCACCAAAGATTCTATTGGTTGTAAAATTATGGAAATTTCCCTTCACCTGCCACACACTTCCTGGGTTATTATTAGCCAAGGGAATTGCCCCCAGGCCTGGGAGGGTGTACATAAATCTTCTCGCAGGGTCTTTACAGGGAGCCCCAGAGCCCCCTGCATGGACCACACTTGGCTGGGTTGGGGGTGGCAGGCTTTCTCAGGGGTCATTGGATACTGCACTGGATTGACCGCACTCTCCCTTCCTCCCTCCAGGAGACAATGATGGACCACCCTCTGAGGACCATTTCCTACATCGCAGACATCGGGAACATTGTCGTGCTGATGGCCCGCAGGCGGATGCCACGCTCCAACTCCCAAGAGAACGTGGAAGCCTCCCACCCATCCCAGGATGGAAAAAGGCAGTACAAGATGATCTGCCACGTTTTCGAGTCTGAGGACGTAAGGGTGGCTTCCCCCATCTCCCTGCAGTGGCCTGAGCTGCCCCTAGGTGGCTGGGTTCTCTCTCTCTCTCTCTCTCTGTCTCAGGACCTCACTCATATGCGTAAACAAATATTTATTGAGCACCTACTAGGTGTTACTCAGCCTTATATCCCTGTTCTTGTGCTAGGGATACAAGGCTGAGGAAAACAGTCAAGATACTCCTGAGTGTTGCAGGGAGACAAGAGATAAATATACCTAATATAAAATTAGGTAATAGGAAGTTTGGTGAAGAAAAAATAAAACTAGGTCAGACTAGAAGACCAGAGTCTGTTCCAGGTAGGATGATCAACAAAGCTCTCTCTGAGGAGGCAAGATTTGAGCAGAGATCTGAATAAATTGAGAGTAGGAGAGAGCAAGTGTAAAGGCCCCAAGGCAGGAGCTTGCTGGTACAGCTTGAAGAAAGGCAAGGAGGCCAAAGTGCCAGAGGGCTTAAAATGAGAGAAGGGGGGAAGAGTTTAGTCCAACCCATGGGGGCCTGAGTAGGGCTCACCTAGACACTAGGGCATTTGGGAATAAAGTCCTTGGTGGTTTGGGACTGCCCGGGGGGGCTACAGGAGCATTAGGACCCCTTCCTTCCTGTCCTGTCCTGATGAAAACCAGCTGCTCCTCCTGTTAGAAAGCCAGTGATGCCTCCAGGTGATGATGTAAACAGGGAAAAATTAATTTACAAAAGCGATGGGGCCCATCCTTCCATTCGGTCTTCTTCCCAGTTATGACTGGAAGTGTCGGCGAGGCCACCAGCTTCAAGCTGCCTTAGCACCCGAGTGGCTCCCAACGCTTGGCAGGCCTCGGAAGCTCCCTCCCAGGCCGGGCCGCAGCCCCATCCATGGTGGTTTGCAACCGCGGAGACCCTCCAGTAGGCCATGCCAGTGCCGCTGGCTGTGCTGAGGTTTTCCCCTCCTGTCACAGTGACATAAGTAAGCTCTTTCTCATATTGAGTAGAGAGCCCTAACTACTTTGAGAAAATTGCCTGTGGTAACCTCGGCTCCTTAAAAGAGGCCATTTTTTTCTCCATGAAAGTGCTCATCTAGCTGCAGTTAAATTACCTTCCTTCAACACGCCGGGAGTCAGAAGCAAGCTGCTTCTCTCTGGGGAGCCAGAGCTGTCCGACCTGTGACCACGGAGCGGGGAGACATGTCTCCTGCCCATCCTTTCCCAGTCTGGTTCTCTAGGAAGCAGCCACAGGAATGACATCGCAGGGAAAGCAGAGAGCTTGCAGCGCATCTTCTCGCCATTCTCCCTAATCCTTTAAAACTGACCCCATACTTGCACACTGGGAGAAAATGAGTTTCCGAAGGTTCTCAGAAAGTCAAATTTAGGACCTTAAGCCACATGTGCCCTGCAGGCCAGTGAAAAAGTGGGGTTAGCACTGCCCACTGGGCCAGGGGCTCCCTGGACGCACCTATGGACGCGTGAGGACCCCTCTGCCACTTTCATCTGGCTTGGAGCCCCGGGGGGAGTTTCTTTTCCTTGGGCTTCCTGTCAGGGAAGATGATGGAAGGAAAGAATGGGGAGCAAGAGTTAGGACAAGCATAGACCTGAGAAGCTTACCCTTGGCCTTTTAAGCAGAGGACAAAAGGACGCTGGCTCCAGGTCTGGCAGAGCTCAGTATGAATCCTGCCTCCATGCATCAGCTGTGTGGCCGCTGAGCTTCTGGAGGCCGACCGTGCCGGCTCAGCGGACTGCTGCGTGACCGATCCGTGTTGCGTAAACACCAGGAGCCTGTGTGTGTGCTTTGCGGCCCCGTCCGGGGCGGTCAGTGTCTGCTGGTTGTGTTCCCAGGCCTGTCCTATTCAGTTCACCTGTTCACACGTGCCTCTCATGCCTGGAGCGATGCCCCACCACCTCCCAGTTTTACAGCAGGCAGGGTGCAGGCTTGTGGCCGTGATGTGACTTCCGGCCCCTGAAGTCACCAGACTCTCAAAGTGCAAGAAGTTAAGCATTTCTTTTCCCAACATAGTGTTAATTAGCTGCTTTTAGTGAAAACTAGGGAAGACAGGTAAAGGAGTAGAGGTTAGAATTGTGCGTGTGTGTTTTTAAAACATCAATCTAGAGAATTTGTTTTGTTGTTTTTCCACCCATTCGAGTTCTACTAGGAGGCAGTCCCACGCGGTGGCAGGGGAGGGACTCTGAAATCAGTCGGCCAGCATTCGGCCCCTGCTCCACCCTTTCCCAGGCAGTGGACAGCTGAGCCTCTCAACCTGTCTCCTGATGTGTCCAAGGGGACACTAAAATAGAGCCATCATTCCAAAGTCTAAAGAGCCCTGACAAACAAGAGGGATTTTTGCAGTCAATTTGCTGATAAACCTGCCCTGAGTGGCCATGAGACCATAGGTGGGATTTGTCCAGCTTACTGTGAATCTTACACGTGTTGCTGCAGAAATATTACTGTGTTCGTGGGTAGGACACTTCCCCAGGCCCTGAAAGGGTTATTATACTATATGATGTAGGAACCCCATTACCTTTCTAAAATCCCAAGTTTTTTAAATTCTAAAACACAGCTAGCCTCAATAGCTTAGGAGGAGGGCTTGTGGACCAGTCCTCCTTCCATCAACCATAGGCTTGATGTGAGGATTTATGTAATGGTCCTTGTAAACTACCGAATGTATCGCAGGCACGTAAGTGCTGTTGCTCCTGGCTACCCTGAGTCGTCATATGGATGATTCATGCAGGGAAAGGTTACCAAAGCTCAGTGCTGGAGAAAGAACAGTGGAAGCAGAGTTCCTGTCCTGTGAGCCCTGTGGCCTTGAGCAGGTTTCTTTGTGTCTCTGAGCCTCAGTCTCCTCACCTAGAAAATTCAGGGATGGACTGTATCAGGGTTCTCAACAAATATTTTGTAATGCCCAGATACCATCCTGAAGTGAAATCAATAGATAACACAACCTCTCCTTTTGAAAATATTTTTATAAAATAAAACATTGCCATAAATGTAACACAAAGGAGAAACTAAAGGAACCAAGTTAAAATAGCATTGTACTAAAGACCATAGGAAAATGTGTAGCTCCAACCATTGCAGAAGGAATCACAGGGTCATCCATCAGGTGCTTACGCCCACTTGATTAGTAAGTTTGGATATGAGAACACATTTATATCCAAACTTACTAATTGTAAACAGTTTCTATTTGACATTTTGAATTAAGAGCTAAGAAAATAGGTAAGTAGATAGACACACACACACATGCACACGCAGGCAGAGTTACCCCACAGGACAGCCTGCATGCAGAGTGATAGTGATGTGATTTCTCGCAAACCCAGATACCACTATTGCTGATGCTGTTCCAAAGTTGTGAAGCTTACCCCTTGTAAAGTACTGGCAAAAACAAAATATTCTCTCAGTTTACACAGTAGTTGTGTTCTTGGAACAGTCAACGTGCGTAATTAAAGTCTCTCTGTTTTTATGTAAATTTGAGTTGGGTCCTGAACTCAGACACTGAGACACAAGGCTTCCATGTACCTGAGTGCCCAGTGGGATGTTTGAAAACTATGTAAGGCATATAATGACTCATCAAAGTGTAGGACTGTCCTTTGCACGGTTGTAAGTCCAGAATCTCTGACTCTTGTTTCTTGATTGCCAGTAGCTCCCTTAGTCATAATCAAAAATGTCCCCACTGCCTAGCTAGTGTGCCCCAGTGAGTTGGAGCATCATCAGCCCATGCACCGGAAGGTTGCAGATTAGATTCCCAATCAGGGCACATGTGATCAGCCCCAGTTGGGGTCTGTGTGGGAGGCAGCCAGTTGATGTTTCCCTCTGTCACCCCTCTCCTTGCTCTCTCTCTGGAAGGAACACACACACACACACACACACACACACACACACACACATATATACATATACATACTATATGACCCCCCTAATTTTGAAAATGACCTCTGGCAATCATTAGTGCCCTGTGTAGACCCCCTGGCCCAGCCGATGTCTTAGGCTTCATAGGCCTGCTGGGAGGCAGGCTATCCACCAACAGGGCTGCCCTATTAACCCTCATCTTCCCTCTCTGGCTACTATCTAGGCCCAGCTGATCGCTCAGTCCATAGGACAGGCGTTTAGCGTGGCTTACCAGGAATTCCTCAGGGCCAACGGGATTAACCCTGAAGATCTCAGCCAGAAGGAGTATAGTGACCTGCTCAACACCCAGGACATGTACAACGACGACCTGATCCACTTCTCCAAGTCGGAAAACTGCAAAGATGTAGGTACTTTCTGAAGCTGGGCCAGCGGGTAGGAGCTCCAGGGAGCCTGGGGACGGGGGGCCAAAGAGTGAGGTATCAGAAGGACGTTACTAAGAGCTCAGGTCCACTTCTGGTTCCCGTGCATGAGGCGCCGTGATTGAATATTGCAGTGGAGGGCCATCACTAGTGAGGCGGAGCATCCTCTGCCTCCCGCCCCCCTAGGCTAAATTTGGGGTGGGTTCCAGAGGTAGACAGGACCTGTACTTGGCCCTTATCAAGCCCACAGTCTAGGAAAGGGCACGGAAAACGTGAAATGATGGTACTTGTGCAAGCATCAGTCAGAGACAACCGTGCTTGGCAGAATGGAGCAGGTCCGGAGTTTCAGACAACGAATGCTGCATTCCTGCAGGGAAGCCCCAAGCTTCAGACCCGGCTCTGCGGGAGTGTCTGGAGGAAACGGAGCCAACTGAGCTGGTCTGGAGGTCTGGGTAGTCTCTGGAATGTGTAGGGCATGCAGAGGGCTGGGCCAAAGTAACAGAAGCATGAAGGTCAGAAAAGCTCAGGAACGGCCTGGGGAGCCAGGAATGAGGCAGGTGGTGCACATAAGGGCAGAAGGAGGCCGGGTATGGGGTTTGGGTCGGAACCGGGGGGCTTAAAAGTCCAGCTGAGCAGGTTGGACTTGATCCAATAGGTAAAAAGGTACCTCTATGAGAAAATGATTTTTTGGTTCACTAATGTATGTTAGGCATCCTGTGTTCCCTAGAAGCAGAGCCTGAGATGGGGATTCTCATTCAAGGGATTTGGGAGGAGAGGTCACTCAGGAAAGAGTGGGCACCAAGATAGTGGATGCAGAGCAGAGACGGGGCCTCCCTGGAGATGAGCCTCATTCTGATCCACAGGGACGCTCTGGGCAACAAACCACCTGGGGCCAAGGGAACTGGCCGTTACTGATACTCGGTGCCGATCATTATTGATGCCAAGGTTCGGCGGGGTTGTATCCTTGTGCTTGGAGTGCCTTGACCAAGTACTGCAGGCTGGATGGCTTCAATGACAGAAATTTATTATCTCCTCATTCTAGAGGCTGGAAGTCTGAGATAAAGAATTCAGCAGGGTGGTTTTCCTTCTGAAGGCTTAGAGGAAGGATCTTTGCCAAGTTTTTCTGCTTGGCTTGTAGATGGGTGTTTTCTTGAGTCTTTGTGTTGTCTTCCCTCTATGCATGTCCCTTTGTCCAAATTTCCCCTTCTTATAAGGACGTCAGTCATATTGGATTAAACTGACCACAGTTGAACTTGATTACCTCTATAAAAATCCTGTATACAAATAAGGTCATATTCTGAGGCAGTGGGTGTTAGGACACAATTCAACATGCGTTGTCTCCCACTTGGCTAAGGGCAGTTCTCCAGAGAGGGGACCACTGTGAGCTGCAGCAGTGGCGGGTAGGAGAGCCCAGCCTGTGAAGGAGGCTTTGTCAGGCCCCAAGAGCCACCACCACAGTGTATGTTTGAGCACATGCGTATCCGTGAATAGCAATAAATAAATGCACACACATTCTCTGTCGGATGCTTCTAAGACCTGTCCTACCCCTTTGCGGTGTCCCTGCAACCCTTGCCAGCCAGCAGATACCCAACACTAGCCCCTGTCTTCTCCGCCCCCCGCGGAAGGCAACCAAAGGGATGCCTCTCTAGAGTGTGGTCTTCTGTTTACACTTTCAGTCTGTCGGTGGTGATAACTTCAGCATCTTTTTGTTTTCTTTTTCTCCAGCCTTCTCCTTGCAGAGAAGTGTTTTCTGTAAAACATTGCATATTAATTAATTTTTAACTCAAAAATCTTAAATCTTGGGAGAGCATTGTAGAACAGGGGAACCAGTGAACAGAATCCAAAAGCTATTCCTGGGAACCGTAACTTACCACCAAAGTTCTCACCTACACAGTCCCACCCCCCGCCCCGCCCTCACCGGAGGCTATGAGGGGAAAACTAAACAAAAACGGTGCCCTTAGTGGCTGTAGTGCCAGGTCGAGACTGCTTATGTGGAACAAGAATAACAAAAACGGGTGTAGGCCTGTGTAAATCGTTTCTTACCCACGCCAATGCCATGGAGTACAGAGGAGCCAGGACTCATTGGGCTGGAGTCCTTGGGGAAATGTCTTTCTTTAGTCAAGGCAGGAAGAGGGCAAGTGATTTGATTTCCGTCCCTGCCCTGGGTGGTTGCTGATTCAGGCTTTCTAAGTGTTTCTCTCCATTCAGGTGTTCATAGAGAAGCAGAAAGGGGAGATCCTAGGTGTGGTGATCGTCGAGTCCGGCTGGGGGTCCATCCTGCCAACTGTGATCATAGCCAACATGATGCATGGAGGGCCTGCCGAGAAATCGGGGAAGCTGAATATCGGAGACCAGATCATGTCCATCAATGGCACCAGCCTGGTGGGCCTGCCTCTGTCCACCTGCCAGAGCATTATCAAGGTACCCGGAAATGGGGGATATCGACTTCTGTCATAGACCTGAAGCATGACAACAGCGTAGTCATGAACATTTATGAACATATTCTAAGTGTCAGGCACTGAGGAGGACAAGTACAGAGGGCGCCAGCCTGCACTCAGTGTTTACCATCAAGTTACTACATACAGATTCGCCCCAGAAATTGTGTTTAGAGCAAAGACGGGCCCTCCGGCCCCGATAGCACCACTCTCTGACACGGTGCCCATCCACAGGCATTGCCGCTCAGTCACAGCGCTCTCTCCCCTTGAGCCTCAACAGAATTGTCCTCAGGTCAGTAAGCCAGACAGTCACCTGGGGCTGCGGTTCTCACCCAGGGGAGATCTTGGACCCCAGGGGACATTTAGTAATGTCCAGAGACTATCTGGGTTGTCACAACTAGGGAGGACGACATGCTAGTGGTATCCAGGGAGTGGAGACCAGGGTGCTGCCAAACATCCTTCAATGCACAGAGCGGCCCCACAGCAAAGGATTTGCCCAGCCCAAGTGTCAGCAGTGCTGGGGCTGAGAATGCCTGACTCGGGGGTACACAAGTTCAGGTGTGGGGCAGAGAAGTCAGGGGAGGCGGAGGACGGTGAGCGAGGGTCTGGGGGGGCTTGATCCGGGTGAGGAAAGGTTTGGGGAGGAGGAGCCGGGAGTGGGGATCATCGGAGTGAGGGTGGGGCTGGGGCCCGGCTGGGACTGGCGAGGCTGCGTGCCAGTGCCCACGTCGCACCTGCCGGCAGTGCCTGGCCCTTCGCAGAGTCACCTTCCATCCTCCTCTAGACAGACAGCCCACTGGGGAGGGGGCAGCAAACACCTGGTTTACAGTTTACAGAGGAGTCATCAGAGGCTCCAAAGGTGACTTGCCCGGGACTCCCCCACCCCCACCCCGGCTGACACACAAGTCCAGATGCCTCTCACCACCCCTCCCTGCCTCTTCAGGAAGGAGGCAGATGGGATGAGGCAGATGGGATGAGGCAGGCTGAGGCGCATGAGGGCAGCGCGCACGTCCCCTGGCACCACACGGGGACTCGTCCTATGTCCGACCGGTCCCCACATCAGGGTGGAAACAAAGCTTCCTCAGAGTATGGTCCACACGGTCTGAGCCTACCAGGAAACGGTTTGTTTGTGCAAGTAGCTGACCCTTGATGTCTGCAAATAGAGGTGTCTGTAAAATCAGAAAATTTAAAGGCCATGTGGGGATGAAAGACACATCACTGGTAAAGATGGACAGTAAGAAAACCAGTGCCTCCGTGGCTGTCGGCAGCAGAGAAGCGCACAACAGGCAGGCTCCCTGCCCTGCCTCCCTGCCCGATGCTCCACTTTGTGGAAGGAAAAGATGTGATTGGCCCAACCCTGGTCCCCTGGCTGGGAGAATTTTACCACTGATTACAGCTTTCTAGTGGTGTATTTAAGTTCTCTAGACAACACCCCCTTGCTGCCTGCACCTGAGCAGATGCTCACACCATCCCTGTGCCGCTGCCTTGGGCCACTACGTGGAGGGTTGTGGGCCTCTCGTGGCTCCCTGTTAGCGTTGTTTATTTCAGAGTGCGTCCGTGCCCCTTGCGATGAATTTTAACAAGCAGCTCTCATCCCGGTAAATCAGTGCTTCACAAACGTTGATTTGAATCACCTGGGGATCTTGTTAAAAAATGCACGTTCTGGTTCAGCAGGTCTGGGGTGGGATTCTGCATTTTCAGCAAGCTCCCCGGTGATGACACCACAAGCTTCAGGCAGTGCTTCGAGGAACAAGCCATGTGTTCTGTGTATGGCCACTTTAATACATGTTGACCCTTTTTCCCCTGAGTCATAGGAAATAGAAGACAGTTCTAGAATAGAGATAGAGGTATTGAATTGTTTTAATTGCTTTCTGCCCTAGCTGTTATTTTTCCTGTCATAATGCCTAAAGCATAGTAATTGGTAGGCAAAGCATGTTAGCAGCCTGCCTGTTCGTTGCCCCATGGCCCTGCCCTCCTGATTGTTTTCCTTCTGAAACTGGAGCACCACATCCCCTCTTCCATAGGATCATCCTGGTTCTGCTCGCCTGTTGCCATAGAAATGATTCTGGCTTCTCTCCTCTCCCCTCTCCACTTTCCTACCCTTTCCCTCCCACCAGATTTCTTAATTTGCTGTACCATTCCACTGTCGTCATGGGGATGAAATGACCGTTTATTTAATTGGCACCTCTAATAAAATGGCAGCTCAGCAACCCAAGCTAATGGGGCCCAACTTGAGGCATTGATTAGGAACGGCAGAGCAAGTGCAAGGTCTGGTTACTTCAAATTGCCGCCTCGCTGAGCCTCACCATGCAGCACGCGTCCCGGTCTAGAAATTCATTCCCTGAGGGACAAATCAGCTGTCTTAAATCAATTCACACAGAAGGAAGGAACCCACCGGAGCAGTGTGAACGTTTAGGTAACATTCAGAAAACAGTCGTCCTCTCGCTTTTCAGTCTGCTCAGAGAGGCCTTCCTGCAGCTCGCGGACATGCCTGAAGAGTCCCAGTGGCTAACAGGTGTCCGCATTGAAAGCAGATGACTTTGTCTGAAGGGCCACGGTCCTACATTGTTCCTCTGTGTTTAGCATTCTTTGCTCTTGCTTCCCACAAATTCCTGGTCTCGTGGTGTTTGATTGTGGAGAGGGAGAGGTGAAGGGATCAAGCCCTCTAGCTGGTCTGCCATGCGTCCCGAAGCCTCCCCTGAGCTCCCAGAGGTCCTGCTCCACCTGCTCCCAGTGCCTAACGCATTTCTTGGCACATAGCAAATGACCCGTAACTATTTATTAAGTGAATGAGGACGTGCTCAAAGGAAAAAGAAATAACATGCATGAATGATGTCTAAGCAAGCCCCTCCTTTCTGCCTATTTTTAATTTCTAAGTATAATGTGGTGTCAGCAAACACAGTCAGGAAAGAAAAAAGCATGAAAAGGGGTGAAATCATAGAAATGAGAACAGGAAGAGACCTCAGCAGGTGGCACCTTATGTTTTGACGATGAGACTGCAGTAGAAGAGAGGAGAGCGGAGCGTCTAAGGCCCCGTGGACAATGGTGGAAGACACAAATCTTGAGCCCAGGTCTCCTGACACCGCAGAGTCCTCTTCACCAAGCACTGATGTCAGCAGCAAAAAGCCAGAGCAGTGGCGCGGACCATGAACCTGCCCGCGGGGGCAACGGACCTGCTGTCCACGGAAGGCCAGGGAGACTCCCTCAGCTCATCTCATGCTTTGCTTTGAAATCATTTCTTCAACCAGAGAGGCTTCCCAGAGACGTTCCAGAAACCACAGAGCGACACTGGTAACTGCTGCCTATGTGTACACTCAGTCACCATAAACCACATTACAGCGATGGGAGGCTCAGCTCCCACAGAAAACAGAGCAATTGAGAACTCCGAGGAAACAGGCTGAGACGCTGGAGGTGGGAAGTTAAATGGAGCCCATCAGGATGCACATGTTGAGAGGACAAACTGGAATCAACCAGAGGCAGAGGGGGAGCCGGTCACGGGAGCCTGGGAGAACCCTCTGCAGGCAGGACAGCCAGCTGAAAACATGGTCCCGCGCAAGGGCTGGAGGAAAAGACGTGGGACACCAGTCCCGAGCTTCGTCGCTCTCTCTGGCTTCTTGGTTGAGCAGGCCTGACTCACGAATGACACAATTTCTCCCATTTTCTATATGAAAGATCACAGGGTAGGAGAAAATGCCGTGGGTTCTAATCCAGACAGACCTGGAATTGAATGTTGCTGTGGGTGAATTTGGGTGAGTTGCTTAGTATGTCTGAGCCTCAGTTTCCTTTTTTATGAAATGGATATCATTAGAGCTGCCAGTTTGTCAAGGATGTTAAAGGAGACAGCTCTCCAGATCGGTGCCTGGCAAGAGTTAGTGATCAGTGACAAGTGGTATGGCTGGTTTCAACACCAGAATGGGTTTTGGGGGACAGTGATCTTAGGGACTCTCAACACATGGTACAGACCTGCAGAAGGCTGACTGGGCGTTAGGACAACCAGGTCTCCCGTAAGCCCTCTCCCCTGCCTTAACTTTACTAGCTCATTCTCACAGAGCCCACTGGCCACGGGTGTCAGCAGTAAGTGGACATCATTAGTTAACCTGAGTGCAGATGAGTTCACTGTTCTGCCGTGGTTGTCTACCCCCGTTGTTCCCAAAATTGAGTATCACTGAGAGTGTCTATCAAGTCACCAGGAAGGCTTGTCAACACAGATTGTTGGGTTCCCCCCGCCCCGAGAGCTTCTGATTCAGCAGGTCTGGGTGGACCCCCGACTCTGCATTTTTAGTAGAAGTGGCCAGGTCTTGCTGCTGCTGGTGTGGGGTCCCGAGAACCACTGGTATATACCTATTGGCCAAGCATAATGAAGCTAGACACCCAGAAGCAAACAAAGCCCCTGTCCACCCTCGATCTAAAGCATATCTTCATTGCTCTGGCTGGTGTGGCTCAGTGGATTGAGTTCTGGCCTGTGAACCAAAGGGTCACCAGTTCAATTCCCAGTGTAGGGCACATGCCTGGGTTGCAAACCAGGTCCTCAGCAAGGGGCACACGAAATGTAACCACACATTGATATTTCTCTCCCTCTTCTCCTCTCTAAAAACAGTAAATAAATAAATGTTTAAAAAATATAAAAATAAAAAGCATATCTTCATGACGTAGAAATAAAGGCATATGGGTCACTTCTACCAAAGTGGCACGTCGCATTCTTGCCCCAGTTCTGTTGGTGCTGAAGTCACCTAGCACCAGTTTCATCTGCCCCCTAGGCAAGGCGCTTGCGAGGAAAGCAGAGGCTGGAGCAGGGAACCATCATCCCGGTTCTGACCCCACAGGGCCTTGGACAAGTCAAGTCAGGTTCATGCCCATGTCTGTCCTCACCTATAACATGTGAAAGAGAGGTCCTGACCCGCCACAGAGAGGGGCTTTGCAGACTGGTCAGGGAGGGACGGTGGGGGCAGCAGCTGCAGAATTTGCAGATTTCTGTTCACAGAATGAGAGGCAACCCCCTTTCAGGCTGAAATGAGGGACACACACTGGACTCATTTTCTAAATGACCAGAGGATACGGCGCACTTGGGAGGAATAGAGCCCACCTTTTTGTGACCACCTGTCCGTCCTTGGGTGGTTGCTGGAGGAGAGGTTGCCCTTCCACCCCACAGAACTGTCATTTAGGACCAGCTGCCCCCCTCCCCCTGACCCTTTCGAGGATGGGAATGGGGCGGACCTTGAGCCTTCTCCCCGTCAGCTGCCTCACTAGAGGGAAGTCCTGTGGGGGAGGCTGTGACCGCAGGCGAGCTAAGGTTCCCCTACCTCAGCTCTCACGCAGGGCCGGGGAAGCAAGGCCTCCGGCCACAAGCCCTGTGGTCTGTTTATTCCAAGGTGCAAAAATACCATCTTTTCCTCTGTGCGCCGTGACTTGAAACGGGCTGGGAAACACCTGCTGTAGGCCGCTGGGTCTGGACCACCTGGCCTGCAGGCGTAAGGTGAGGCAGGGCGGGGTCTGCAGGAGGCCTGGGAGACGGAAGCTGGTTCCAGGGCTGTATTGCCTTCCTTTCAGGGTGAAGCTCACAAGTCTGTGATAGGACCTGTAAGAGCGAACCCTTCCCCTGCCTGAGGCGATTTTCTCAGAGTGTTCCTGAGCAGACCAGGGCTCTGGTCACGGCTGTGCGATCAGGGGACAGGGAGATGGCCTGAGCTCAGCATAGACAGAGTAGGGTGGAGGAAGCTCTATGAACAGGCTCTGAAACCAGGGCATGGCCCCTTTTTATCTGTGAAGGCTCCCTTTCGCTTGATTCTTAGAGGGAGAGCCATGTTAGCAAGGACCATAAAACCTCAGACCCGCAGACTGTCTCCGAGTCTGTCTTCTTCCCTCCCTCCCTCCCTCCTTCCCTCCCTCCCTTCCCTGCAGCACCCTATTCATTCTCCCAAGGAGGCCTTCACGGAGTCCTGCCTGCTCCCTGCTTTCCCCCTGGGGCGCTCGTGGGAATGTTGATAAAATCTGTAACAGGCAGAGAGGATGGGGGTGCAGGGGCATTAGCGATGGAAGGAAAACAAGTCCCGGTGAATTGGCCCCGTCACTGTGAGTCAGGTCTTCTTTGTTCGAAGAGGAGGAATTGCTAGAGTTTGCCTTTCAGAGAAAGAGTCCATTTCCCACTTGTCTCCTGACCGGGGAGATACGGTATAGCCGTCATCTTTCAAGCCAAGAAGCACATGTGGCCCTTTCCTTCTTCACTGCCCAGATGACCGCTTTATTCAGGTCCCTCAAACACAGCCCATTTCCCAAAATGAAGGCACTGCCCACAACAGACCTGGGCCTCTACACAGGGTGACAGGGCTCTGTGTAAAAGCAGGTGGTTTCTCCCCGAGCTGACACCATCTGGCAGTGGATTGGGGGTACTTCAGGAGTCGACGAAGTGACAAAAGTCTCACAAGGGCTTCTTTTGCCTTCAGTGCTGAGTGCCCTGATCTCGTCTGCCTGCCTGGGTGGCCGCCGTATCCACTGTGCTTTGTTCACTTACCAGGGCTTGAAGAACCAGGCCCGGGTGAAGCTGAACATTGTGAGGTGTCCTCCGGTGACCACTGTGTTGATCAGGAGGCCAGACCTTCGCTACCAGCTGGGTTTCAGCGTCCAGAACGGAATTGTAAGTAAAACCGCAGACCCTTTTCCAAAACTCTGACGTAAATGTGCCGCAGTTTTTGGCATTTTATTTTTTATTTTTAAGGCTGGTCAGTGCCCTGAAAGAATCCAGCAAGGAAAGGGGTAAGTAGGTGAAGGCAGCCTCACTTCCTCCCCAGACAGGAAGGTCTTTGCCTTCCCACGTGTGGCGAGAAAGGCCCTTCTCAGAGCCCTGGCCCTCGGGGCCCGAGCCTCCTCGGGACCGTTGTAGGGTGGCCCTCCCAGGGGTAACCTGAGGTAGCCTGGGATCGTGCAGCAAGGTCTTCCTTTACCTCTGGCCTTAGGGGACTGCCACCCTGTCACCACCCTTGGGTGTATACCCGAGCCCCTGCAAAGCTGCTGCTGCTCCCCACATTGGGGTGCGGAGCACTGGGGGCTGGGGGAAGGGCTTCAAAGCTCCCCGTGAGTCCAGCTCACAGCCCAGGCTCAGAACCCCAGCCCCCTGCTATTACACATGATTAATCCATGTTTAGCCTTTTTAAGCTCGATTGGCACTTTGGCGATGCAGAGTATTTTTATCACTTGAATGTCAGCCTTAAAAATACTTCTTTTCATCCTGGAAAAATATACGCATTAAATTGACAATTTAAATTATTTTTAAGCACACAGTTCAGTGGCATTAAGTACATTCACAAAGGGGTATGACCATAACCATTATGTCTTTCCAGAACTTTTTCTTCATCCCAAACAGAAATTCCATGCTTCATGCCCCTTCCTTTTTGCCCAAGCTTGCCTTTCTGGATTCATAGTCATTCCGGGCTTGGGTGGCAAATCTGTCCTCTGTAACCTCTTTTGTTTTTCTTTATTTGATTGATTTTAGAGAGGGGGGAGAGGGGGAGAGAGAGAGAGAGACATCGATTTGTTGTTGCACTCACTTATGCATTCATTGGTTGGTTCTCGTATGTGCCTTGACAGGTCCCACAACCTTGGCATATCAGCACAGTACTCTCACCAGCTGAGCTACCCAGCCAGGGCCTGTAACCTCTTGATTTTACAGATTTTGGTGTGCTTTTTGTGCATTCATCTTTCTAGGTAGAAAAATTCTATTCTAGATAGAAGAATTCTACTCTTTTTTTTCTCCTTAAATTTCAGGTAAAAGTTGTAGGTAATCAAAATGTTATTCCAAGTATGTTTTAAGGTTTAGAAATACCCATTTGAAGTTTCCAGTTGGAGTTGAAATATTCAGCCCACTTATCTGCTCTTTGTGCCTCCACAGCATCATTTGCTTTTTGGAGAGAAGCTACCTCCATCATTTTAGTCTGACATCGTATTTCCATCTGTTTATACTTCCTTATTTGCTTTGTTCCTATTTGAATGATATTAAAAGTTGAAATAGGAACAAAGGGTTGTTATATAACAGTTGAGTCTCTCTTGGGCCCTCATTTTTATTTGCAGTGTGGTTAGCACCTCAGGAACCTTTTGACCTGGAGTACTTGATGGGCTGAAGGCTTCCATGTTGCAAGATGTCTCAGTCTCATCTGCAGAGGCTTTTAAATAGAGGTGCACAGTCTGGAGTTAAAAGTCAACTTTGTACATTCAAAACATTCTTTTGGGAAAATTCCCCCCGTTTTGTGTGTGAGGTAGGGGTGGCTACCCCCTACCGTGTGGAGCCCAGAACCCTCCCAATGCGGAAACGCAGGCACCAGCCTGCAGCGTCTGCCCACCCACTGGGACAAAACCCAGCCACGTTGTCATTTCTGTGAGAAGGGAGTTTGACCAAGCGCCACTGAGTTGGGAAAGCCAAAAGGAGCAACTACCCTCCAGCTCTGGAACACAGAGTGGGATTCCAGCCCCACTTTGCTCGTGTAGCTATGACCCTAAATAGTGGCGGCTAGAATTAAACATTTGGCGTTTGAGTCCAGTGGTGATTGTGGGAAATAAAACTCACCTGAGTTATAGGCTGACAGTTTGAAAACATTGGCAGCTTGGCGACAGGCCCAAACAGCTCTTTTTACCAAGCCCCAGCTAGGATGAAAAGTAGTCAGAATTCAGTGTGCATGAAATCCAGTGATGTGCTGCATTTCCTGTGCACAGTGCGTGAAGGAGGTGGCCATGTGGGTGTACAGAACCCTATTCCCTGTGAAAAGAAACAGATTTCAATGCCCAAAGCCTAACCATGGCAGCTTATCAGGGAAGAGAGTGCAAGAGGCGGGGGACTCCAGAAAAGACAGTTTTATGTCCCACCCAGGTCCCTGCCCACCAGGGGTGACTTGACCTTTGACTCTGATAGATCTGCAGCCTCATGCGAGGCGGAATAGCTGAGAGAGGAGGCGTCCGCGTGGGACATCGGATCATTGAAATCAACGGCCAGAGCGTGGTTGCCACCCCACACGAGAAGATTGTCCACATCCTCTCCAATGCTGTGGGGGAGGTAGGAACGGGGGCCAGGGCTGGGGGTCCTCTGCTGCCCCATGCCAGGCCCTGACCAAGGCTTCCTAAACACTCTTCGACAACCAGAACAGCCTGTCTCGGGCCAGATTTTATTAATGAAAGGTTGTCAGAAAGCATCTCCATGAGATAAAAATCAGGACACCTTTAGGATTCGCTCACTTTCTCTTTTTTAAATACAGGGGTAGGCAGAAGGAGGTTTATAGTTGTGAATATATGAAATAGAGTTTACTCTTGCATTATTACTTATCAATGTATTATTTATTTGTATTACAACTGTAAACCTACTTTTGCACCCACCCCCTGTATGTTTCAAGTGCACAGTATCATAACTGAACATCTGTGTGCACTACAAAATGATCGCCCCAAAAAGCCTAGTGACCGTTCATTACCATGCAGTTGACCCCCTTCCCTTCTGGCAACTGCCTCTCTGTTCTCTGAATGAACGAGTTTGTTTTGGACCTTGAGGGTATTGTGCTAAGTGACAGAAGTCAAAGGGAGAAAGACATACTCACTTTGATCTCACTTCTGTGTGAAATCGGAAACAAAACAAAGCAAAATAAACTCAACTTCTCTTATTGCCCTCAGATTTATGCAACTTCTCTCTGTACAGCCCAGTTCTCTCCATTTTTTTCCCCGGGAACCTCACCAAATCTGCCTGGGAGATTTAAGTCTCAGATTCAAGTCTCCTCAGCAGAACAGGCCTCCAGAAGGGTGTCCCTCGCATGGCCTTGGGCCGGGTCCTAGTGGCTGTTCCAGGGCTTGTTTCCTGGGCCCCACACCAGGGAGAAGAGCGGCAGGAACAGTTAGAACCCCCCAGCTTTTTACTTCCATTTTAACCGTTCTGTCCTTTTAAAAAAAAAAAGGCCTGATGAGAATAAAAGCATTTGGGAGAATAAACGCTACGTGTTTCTCATCGCTACTCCGTCACCCCAAATTCTTTAGAAAGCCTGTGGACTCCACTCTTCCTAGAGGCCCCTGGGTCAGGTCCCTGCTGGCAGTGGTGTTGGGTGCGGGTCTTCACGTCCCCCCATGGTGGGAGGTGCCCCCCTCCCCTGGCCCTGGGCCCTGGGCTTCAAGCCTCAGCGCCTGCTAACATGTGTTCCCGCCCTCAGATCCACATGAAGACGATGCCGGCTGCCATGTACCGACTGCTGACAGCGCAGGAGCAGCCCGTTTACATCTGAGCCGCGCCCCCGCCGGGCGCATGCATGGAGGACTCTCCTCACTCGTGGTTGTGTTTCTCGTTCTGCATCTGTGTGCCCACTGAGACGTTCCCCTCTTGCGCCCACACTCAGTCTACACGGGAAGGAAAGAATCTGTAAAGACCTCTGTGCTCTCTCTCTTCAGTTTGCTTTTTTTTTTTTTTGAATACCAGGGAAGTTTTGTATGCACTCCCTTGAGGATGGGTAACAGCCAGTATCCACCGGGTCTCTGCCCAGGACTGGACTGGACTGTCCTGATGGGCCCCCGGGGGCCTAAGGAGGGCTGTCACTGCCCAAGGGGACATCCTCCCTTCCCAAGAGGTGCAGGCCTCTTAGAAGGAGCTCCAAGGGACAGCACAGCAGCTGATTCAGCAGTGCCTACTATTCAGTCGCTGATCCCTGCTCTCCTCGAGTCAGTTTGCCGGAATCTGGTAGGAACAGGCGACCAGCCGGTGTCTTTAAGGATAGGCCCTGCCCACCACTGACTTGGGGCACCATTTGTTACTTCTGCCCAGAATCTCTGAGCCAACTGTAGGCCTCTTCTATAGCTAGTTTTAATTTCAACATAATTGTATTTTCTAACAGGAGCCTCCTCCCCCCAGGACAGAAGGGGAGCTGCCTTGGACCAGGGTATCTTCTTGTTTGTGGGTGATTCCTGGGACAGCCGTAGCTTCTCTAGGTTGTCCTGAGGTTACACACTGTTAGATGAACGTGGGCAGCCGCTGTCTGCCTCCATCCCTGTCACACACCTGTATGTACACACAGTCTCGTTTGCATATCTGTCACCCTTCTCTCCCACCGCGCAGGACAGACACAGAGCCCCTGGAGAACCCACGTTACCTCTCTGTGGGGCCCCTCCCCCTGGCCGGTGAGACCTGCAGGGCCTGGTCAGCTCCGTCCTGAGAGAACTGCCCCTTCTGGGGCTGAGGCCTGGCCCTGACGGCGCACCCTTGGCTCAAAGTGCTCTAGTGGCCTCCCCTCAACCCCCTCCACACACACACACACTCACACGGGGAGTCTGGGAAGGTTAGACTGCTCACCTGGAAGACAAGGACGCAGGCGCGTTCATGTTACATTTTCTTCTGTGCTCAGGGCCGCTAGGCAGGATGGGACATTGGAAAGGCCAGAAGAGTACATAAACCACAAAACTAAGGGGACAATAATGACCTCAAGCTATGCCTAAGAATCCCCAAATACGTTCCAGAAACATCATCTTGCTGCCTCGTGTGCCCAGGAGTTTCACTGGTGTGGAGTGTTACATGTTTTTTATCAGGTGCCTCATGTTTTGGGTTCCGTCTCAGTTCAGTGCAAATATTTTAGTAATATTACTCTGAGCCAGTTTTTACTTATTCTTTGGTCCAAAGAGCATTTTGTTTTCATGTAGATGGGGTATGGCTTAGTTTGGTTTTTGTTTCGTTCATGACCTCAGCAGAGACAGGGAAAGAGAAACTAATATATTTTATAATATTAATATAGTCCCTGTTCTCTGCACTTGGGATATTTATGTTGTGTTTGTGGAAAGAGGAATCTGGTGAGCACATGTTGGGGAGTATGTATTTCCAGAACGAAGGGAGGGTTTAGGGGAGGGAGAAAAGTGAATATAGAGATTAGGAACAGGACACTTTACCAGAGTGTGCGGTCAGTTCCCCAGGATCTCTGTACCTTCTGAGTTTTCTGCTTCAGCTCAGGAAGCCGGAAGCTTCCAGGGCGTCAGCGGCCGATGTCTCGGGGTGCGGCACAGCAAGCCCTGGGGAAGTGGGGCCACGCTGCCCGAGCGTCCTCTCAGGGAAGGGCCGCCTCTTCTCCAGGGCAGCCCGGTGGGCAGGCCGGAACCTGGCTCCCGGTTCTCCATTTACCTGCAGAGAGTGTCCGATAATACGATTAAATACTAGAGAGTCATAAGTTCATCTCTCCTCCGCCAAAGAGGGCGTGGCTAAGACATGAAAGCAGCGTGACTGGTGGTATTTCAGGCCTCAGGAGCCTTGGGAAGTCCTCCGAGGGCCCAAGCCTGCCTGCCCCCAGGGTGACCGCTCGGCCACCAGCCCACACAGCTGTTCAGAGGCCTGCCCGAGATTGTCCAGGGGCGGGAACTCCACTAGCATGTGGCTCTGAAGCCTCCCCAGTGATTACAACGAAGTGTCTTCACCCACCCAAAGGAGCAAAGAGAGAGAATATGCTTCCTTGGCTACTGCACAGAAATCTTAGAAAGTTTGACAGGTGCTGGAAAAGCCAATTGGACAAGCTTTTCTAGAGGATGAACATATTTTAGCCTAAGAGTAAGATGATTTATCCACCACCTAACTTCTTGGTAACATGCGTGGCTCCTCACAGCCAGGGAGCCTGTGTTTATGGAGCTCGGCGCATGGTCACCCGCTGAAGTGTGTTCTTTTCCCTCTGCTCCCGTCGGATGGAGGAAGTTAATCCACCTTTGGTTAACCAAGGAGGCAGAATCTGAAATGTTAGTAAGTCTGATTTTGAAAGTCCCGTGGGAAGTGGTGGTCAATATCCCTTGGCGCCCCAGGATGTATAGTTATATATGTAAATACCTGAATACCCCATGTAATGAATCGGGAAGACACTGTACAGAGCAGCCCAAGCACGGCCTGGGCAAAAGGCTCTCTTGCCGCTTGGTTAGAATATGCTGGGGATTCAGCTTTGGGGACAGATTCACCTCCCCATCCTGGTCTGGCCAGGGTGCACCAGGACCCACCCCACCTCTGCCTTCTCACATGCAGACGTGTCAGGGAGCCACCATCAGCCTCAGGTTCCCGAGAGGAAGAAATGTCATGGAGAGCGATGCCTGGAGCCCCCACCCCTCACCAGAGAGGGCTCCAAGGGGCCTGGGGCCCGTCCTGGGTCTGGACTCCGAGGCCCTGCAGGCGGCTCTGCTCTGCACATTGCCCATCCACGCCGGCCTCAGACGGTCCCAGAGTAACCTACTACCTCCCCCCTCGCTCCCGTCACCCCCATGCCCCACCTGCACGCCGATGAAACCCATCCATGAACCATTCTTGGGTCCCTCAACCAGGGGTGTGGCCATTACCAATGTTTACAACCAAGGGCCACCTCCTCTTAGATGTGTTTACGCTCTCACTTCCAAGGCCACGTGGTGGTTTGAGTTTGGCTGCTCCTTCCCTGGCTTGGCCAACTTGAACACACACACACACACACACTCACACACTCACATGCAGCCCTGAATCTCCATCCCCTCCGTGCAGGCAGCGCAGAAGGACTGTGTGGGGAGGAAGTTTCTTGTACATAGCTCGGCACAGCCCCTGGAGTATGAACTTGTACTATTGTTCTGTAAAGAGGATGAAATAGAGCTTATTGTAAAGCATTGGGAGAAGTATAGTATTGTATTTGTAACAATATCGTTCTTTGTATACACAAAACTCAATGATCTCTATATATAAATATAAATAAATATATAAAGTATATATACACGCGAGCCTGGAATGTGGACGCCGCACACCCACTGAATGTACTTCCTCCGAGAGTCCGGTCACTGGGCCTGGCCCGCCCTCCCCTCCTCCGTAGCGTTTTGGGGGTTGTGATGTATTTAACGTGTTATCTTTATTTAACTGAACGCTAACGTCTGTAAGAGTTGCTGCAACAATAAACAAGGACTCCCACCTCTTGGCCCTGGCTGAGTGTCTGATTGTTTCGGGGGCAGGATGGGACCCAGGTCGCAGCAGGTCGGTCTTTTTCCCAGCAAGCCACGTCCTGCTCACCCTGTCGCAGGGGTGTCCAACCTTTTGGCGTCTCCGGGCCACACATTAAATACACAAACACTAACAAAAACTGATGAGCAGGAAAAGGGTTTTAAGAAAATTTGCGATTTTGTGCAGGGCCACATTCATAGCCCTCTGGGACCCCCTGCGGCCTGCTTGGCACCCAGGGCCCAGGTATTTTCTAAAGGGGGGTGTTCTGTGAAACCGACTCCACTTTAAATTCGATAGACCGTGTCACCTGTTGCCACACTCTCCTCAGCCTCCTTCGAGCACACTGCGTGGACGAGAGGAACCCTATGGTTCCTATGGATTTCTCAGTGAGGGACAGGAAGCCAGAGTTAGTCACCTCCCCCAAGAAATCGGAGGAGGGGAGGTGGCCTTGGTGAAGTGGATGGTCAAGGGGAACTGTGCCCCGGAGCCTACCTGACGGTTCCTGAGGAGTCCCTGGAAGGCTTTTCTGATGCTCCTCGCAATGCCAGGTTTGGAAGCTTGCCGCCATGACCGCTCTGCTGCCAGGCGTGTGCTGGGGACACTGGACCCCCGCACAGAGTATCCAGCCCTGTTCCTAAAACAAAATGTCCTTAGTGCTTTTTCTCTACAAACACCACTAACCCCGTCTTCCCTGAGAAGCACGACCAGCCCCTGAGGGTCTGGCAATTGGGGCTGCTATTGTGGAAATTTCCCCGGGGCTCGGGGACCTGAGAAAGAGTCTGGCAACCCCAGAATTACATCATGTGTTTGTTAAGGAAATTTACAGACAGAAACATAGTTTGGGGCAGCAGCAAGACAATGGATTTCTGCATGGAAAGGGGACAGAGGCCAGATATGTGCAGCCAAGTGTCACGAGCTAACACAGGGGGCTTGCAGCCACGAGGCACGGGCTGGTTAAGAGCTGTGTAATGCAAGGATGTAAACACTGAGCCTTCTAAGCTATGCAAGAACATTCCTTTCAGGTGACCTGGGTCCACCCCTCCTAGAGTAAACTGATGGTCAGCTGCTTCACAAGACAGCAGCAGAATCATTTCTCCTAACTCCATGCCTCCTGACTGGCTCTACAATGTTGTGTGACCCCCTCATCCCCAATGGTCCCCACACCTCTAAGGACATGGAGGAACACAGAAGTCACTTTTTGTGATATCAGTCATTCACACTGCAGACAAAGGCCGCAACAGCAACATAAACACATGCAAGGGGAAAAAGTAATAACAATGATGACAAAAAGAACAAGGAGAGATCGTTTCCACCAGGATTCCCAAGAGCCAGACTAACGTTAGGAAGAACAGGTCTCTGGAAGAGCTACACAGCGGTGTTTGCCGACACACCCAGCAGCGGGGACTGGATGCTGGAGCATATGAATGAGCCCATTTCAGGACAAGACTGGTGTTGAGCGCATCATCGAAAGCAAGAACATAAAAAATCAAGAAGCTAGGGGCAAATAAAAAGGTGCTTAATTGGAACCTGCAGGGAGATCTTCTTGTATGATAATGCGGGCAGCCAGACCGTCGGCAGTCGGCTGCTGCCGCAGGCTCCTGAAAAGGAGGGCCGTACCAACTCGCTGACCCGAGGGACTGGGCACCCGGACCCACTGAAGGGTCACTGTGGGGGAGTACACCAGATTAGGGTTCTTATCGGGTGCCTCTGAGTATTTCTTGGGCCGCCTGTAATGCATAGCGTTGCCTCCGTCCACACCTGCAGCAAGGGCTTCCCCAGGTGTCCCCAATCTGTCATCGGCACAGCAGGCCCTGTGGAGTGAGTGAGCATTAAGATGAATTAAAGCTGGCTCAAGTACCTTCCTCCCCACAGCCAAGGAGCCTTTCCCGAACAACAGTCATGTCTATTGTTTCAGCAAAGTCGCTTTTCCTTTCCGTGAGCCCTGTGGCTTGACGGTTATATGGAAAATGGAACCTCCACTCAATGTCATTATCTGGTACCCACTGGTTGAATGCCACGTCCTCTGAAGTGAGATCCGGGATCTGTGTGACATGGGTGTCCAGTCAGTGCTTAATTTTGATGACCCTCTTGCAGTTGCCTTTGATGTGCCCGTCTCCAAGGACAAGCCTGTAACAGTCAGCAGCTGCAGCTACCCAGGTGAGAGCCTGTTTTGAGCCTGTGCGAGTAGGCAAGGGGCCAATATAACCTATCACCAGCCTTTCACTGGGTCGTTACCTTTACGCATGTGCCCAGGTTGATGAGGCAGCTTTCTTGGCCGTAAACGGGAGCAAAGCTGGCAATCTCGTATAGCTGCTAAAATGCCACTGCAGTTTACAGGCAAACCTGCTCCCTCTGCGATATTCCATCCTACTTCTGCCCCTTGAAGTCAACGTTTCTATGGGCCCAGTGGGCTAAATCTGCACCTTGTGTTTGGCACCAAGGTTTTGATTTGGGCCAACGCATCTGCCTCCAGACTACCCTGGCGGTGGGGCGGGGGAGAAATATCAGAACGGGCAGGGACACAGCTCTAATCTTCTCCAGGGGCCTGCAGTCTGCCCCAAATCTCTTTCCATAGCATAAAGCTAAAAACATAAATAGAAACCGTAGCTTGACACTTTGTAAAATTGGTAGGAAGAAAGTTACAGAGGCCCCATAGTGGGCAATAGCTGTGAAGCCACAGTGCCGATAGATTATATTGGCGCCTCACCTACCAGCACAGGCTCGAAACACGCTCTCACCTGTGTAGCTGCAGCTGCTGACGGTTACAGGCTTATCCTTGGAAACAGGCAAATCGAAGGCAACTACAACAGGGTTATCAAAACTAGGCACTGAGTCCTGCCTGGTGTGGCTCTGTGAATTGAGCACTAGCCTGCAGAGCATAGGGTCACCAGTTCG